AGGACTGACAAAATGGTCTATATTTCACCTCAGCAAGGTGAAATCTTAAGCCAAAATGCAGTTTTTTTCCTTATACATGTAAACACCCCCCCCCTTCACCTTCCTCCTCTTCTTTATCCAATTATGATACATGAAAATTGAACCATCAAAGGGGGTTCATATCAGTCAGGCTCCTGCAGGCACCCTTGTCTTGCCCAGGGCTTGAGGAAAGCATTTGTCTTGGGGAAGTAGAAAAATGAAAAACCTTTTCCTGAACACACACAGGAATAGTAATAGAATAATGGTTTTCTGCTGCTGCTGAGCTGATGTGCAGAATTGCTCTTAGAAGCACAGAAATGGTGGCTTAGGTTAGTGGTCCAGTTAGATGTTAAAAAGTGGGGTTTACTCTTGGGTTTTGTTGTGTTGTTTGTGTTGGGTTTTTTTGGGTTTTTTTTAACATTTTGTAGCATTTGCAGTCTTGAGAGGCTGCTCTTTGTTAGTCTCTGGCTCAGAAGAAAGAAGTCTGCCTACTGCTTGTCTTCTTTTCTTCCAGGCCTCTTCCAGGTTGGCTCTCCAGCACCCTGGCATCCCTTGACTTCTTTCAGTGGGTCTGTTGGAGCAAGGCCCTCTGGCTTTAGGCCCTTACACCACTGATCTTGAGAGATCCAGGCTGCAGAGCAAATAGCAGCCAGAAAATCAACTTGTTGAGTGCATGAGAGAAAGAAAGTGCAACATTGCTTTTTTAAAAAAAACCTCAATCTAGCCATTCTTTGAGGCCATCATGTAATACTAGAGGGGATAAAATTACTGGGGAAGAAAGAACATGAGACACTTATTTTTATTTTAGTTTTCCTTTTTTGTTTTGTATTTCCATGATGGTAGGAGGGAATTTTCAGCATAACTCATGTGTCCACGCTGACTTTGCTCAAGTAATGAGAGACTGGCCTCAAAAGTAACTTCACAGATGTTCCTGCACAGCCTTTTAGAGATCAGGCTTGTGAATCCTGTGCAGTGTTGGAAGGTGCCACTAGTGAAGCCTTAATCTTGTTATTTTTCAGTGGTCAGGGTCCAAATAGAAAAGAACCCAATAAGTGATGCTTGTAGCTCTGGGATATTTGAAGGCTCTTTGAGCTTTCATATATTTACTCTTCACAGAGAGATTTGACTTAAGATTCCCTCTGCCTGGAACCACTCATCTGCTCGATTTTGTGCTTTTCATGTGAGATACTGATACCCAGTGGTGGGTATTGATGTTGTAATAATCTATAAAAAGACCACCTTGCCCTGTGTGGATTTAAGTAAATTTTCTACTTCAAATTCATTTATCTTCCACATTTTCCATTGATAAATGTGCTTGGATTCCTTTAGAAATCTCGTCTGCTTGTGAATATTTCTTCCCTTTCACAAAGAAGATAGCAACCCTGCAGTACCTGTTGCACCTCATTACTTAGTAATTCTGTCTCATTCAATTTTATATTGGGTTAGATCTACAGAAAATATGCTGGGGTTTTGTGGTGGTTTTGGTTTTTGCTTTTTTTTATTAAAGGCTGCCTTTTCAAATCAGTTGATTGTATTCAAAGTGTGTCCCAGACTTAAATTAGCCTAAGGAAGTGTAGGACAGTTCTTGTTGGGTGATTACTCCACTGGAGGTTTTCAGACTGTCCTTAAGTTCTGGATCTTCAGCAGAGACTCAGAAGTTTGAGCAAGGCTTCTTCAATCTTGCATCTGCCAAACTCTATGCCTTTGGTCAGGTTGTTGATACTTGCCTTGCCATAGTTTTAGACAGTAAACTGAGCAAATATGAACAAGCACTGTAGGAGGAGTTGGTCATCCCTTTGTTTTCTGAAGGCATTTAAGAGGCTTGAAAGTAGTCTGACTTAATGAAAAGCTGTGTTGATGTCTTCAGCTTGCTAATGATGGAGCAGTGGGTGTAGGTACACAGTAATCATCAGTAAGCACAATTCATATCCTCTGGGCAGTGAGGTGTGGCTGTAATAAGTTAGTGAAATTGTTTTCTTGTGCTTGGTGCAGCTCTGGGTTTTCTGAAGTCTTGGCTGTGGCCTGAGGATGTGGAGACTAGACTTGCTGGAGCTTCTGTGGTGAAAGGGGTGTGGGCCATCAGGCCAGGAATATATGATGGCAACCTGAGAGGACTGGCTGTATTTATCCTCCTTCAAATCAGGCAGATTTGTGCTGTACTTCAGGATTAAAGGATATGAATTAAAGAACAAACTCACTTCTGGTGAGAGCAAACCTACTGATGGTTCTGGAAATAGACTATTCAACACGTCTGATATTGCAGAGATATTTGTCTCATGTACACAAAGGAGAGGCTTTGGACATCAAGTTATTGCGTAGAATATTAGTTCATGTTGCCTGAGAACTGTGTGCTTATGCTTAGTTCTGGTTCCAAATAGCTACAGGAGACTTAAAAATGGGCTTCTGAAAACTTCAGAAATGCAGCAAAAACCCTTGCAAGCCTGTTAACTGAGAGGGCAGCCTTCTGGAGAGCATTTAGCACATGTCTAAAGCACCTGAATTTGACTGTGCCACTGCTTGGTTATATTAGTCATTTACGGGATTTTTTTCTCTTGCCTTTATGTTCTTGGATGGTAAGAGGATAATTGGGCAGAAGACAGGAGGGATAATGGAATAATAAATACAGTGCTGGATAAGAGGAAGGATCAAGAGGTGCTCAGAGTCATAGCCCATCTCTACCTCTTCCTTCTTGGTCCACTTAAAACAAAAGATAAGGCTGCAGGATGTAATTCAGTCAAGGTTGGAACAAAAGCAGTTCCCTCCTTTTACCTCAACAAACATTTACTTGTTATCTCAAACCAAAGCAAGTAATACTTTTATTACATACCTAACATGTTCTTTCCC